TATTATATAAGTTTAATCTTTGATCTTTAAGTCTAACTTCTGGATATTATTTTTGTTCTAATATTTTTCTTAAGAAAATAACTCTAGAATATATTTCTAAATAATGAAAAATATTAATATATTAGATATAATTTATTAATCCTAAAAATAAGAATTTGTTATCTGCTAAATCTAATATCTTTGAGATTAAACTTAACATATATATATTCAGAGATAATATTTTGTAATCCTATAAAATTAATAAAGAATCAGCTTTAAAATTAATTTTAGAATAATATAAAAATACAATATATTTATTGAACTTGAAGAGGTATATCTAAAATATCATTAGATATTTTAATTCTTAATATTCTAGACTTATTTTAAAAATAAGCAATATGACATAAATTTTTGTTATACTAATTAAAATTAAAATTAAAATTAAATTAAAATAGCTATAAAAAATAGTATAATTCTTGGTATTTGATAAATTAATTTTATATTAAGTTTGATATCAAAAATTTTAAATAGCAAAAATTAAGCCAAATATGAACTAAAGTTTTAAATTCTATATTAATTCTTAATATATTTTCTAATATTATAAAGTAAATTGATTTTAGAAAGAATTTTATAAACTTTCATATATCAGAAATGAGATCAAGCAAGTCATAAATAATATTTAACTATATATATACTCTATACAGAATTTTGTTTTAGAATTTTCAATAGAGATGGTGCAGCAAGTACATAATGCTTATTTGTCACCCATTGCAACATGTTGCAACTACAAAATTTTATAAGCTGCAACTAGTTGCAACTAGGTGATACTTTATTTGTTATTACGTTATAATAGTTGTCACACCATCTTTAATTTTCAAGTTTGACTTATTTAATATTTATTACATATTATTGAATATTCAACCAAATTATTATTAGTAGTAATAATATTTTATTTTATTAAAAAAAATAGAAGAAGATATATTATGTATTAATCCTAAAGTAACTGAATTAAAATCAATAACTAAAAACTAAAACAGATAATTAGTTAAAAACAAGTTACATTTAATAATAATATCAAAAAAATTCTAAAAATTAAATTATGACAATGTAATAAAAAAATAAAAATTATAAATAAAAAATTTTTTTCATTTATTAGAAATAAAGAAAAAGAAAAAAAGAAAAAGAAAAAAAGAAAGAGAAAGAGAAAAAGAAGATTAACTAAATACTTGAATTAATATTATATTATTATAATAAATTATAATATCTATAATATATTAAGGATAATTTTTCAATTCTATAATTAATCATATAATTAAAAGGAATTGTGAAATCAAGATTTTTTTAAAATAAAAATTGGATCAGAATCATTCTTGAAAAAAATCATTCAGAACTGAATGCTTAAGAATTGACTAATATTTCTATTTTATATTTATCAAAATTCAATTTGTTGAAGAAATTATAAGTTTTGTAAAATATAATAAAAATATATATTAAATATAAATTTGTAGAGTAAATAACTATAATTTTTAAAATTATTTTTTTATTTAATTATTCTAGTAAGATTTAAATTTTTTTAAAATTAATATTCAATTTGATATTATTAATAAATTTATAATTTAAAAATCTGAATTTAAAAATCTATTTCTGTTTTTCAAGATCTTTTTTTGTCATTTAAGATATGTATATATAAAAAATCTTTTTTTAATAATGAAGATGATTGAGATATTATTTTGAATAATTAACTCTGAAAAAAAATATTATAAAAATAAATTTCAAATATAATATTTTTTTCTATTTTAATCAATATCTCAAAATATTAATTAATTTTGAAAATTAAAAATTTTTGATTTTTTTATTAATATGCTCTAATAAATCTGTATTTCTTCTATTATCTAATCTAATAATATAATAAGTGTTATTAAGCAATTCATTATTATTTATCTTTAAATAGTGATAGTATTTTTTATTGGCTATTCAACTTGGATCACATGATTATAATCCGGATCGGATTCCATATCACGTGAAACTACCCGATTCAATCCATCCGGAAAGAATCCGAAGTAACAATAAAAATTATTGATTTATATTTGTCTATGAAAAAATTAAACTTTTTTTTCCTAAAAATTTTTGATCATTATTTATAGCACGCACTGTATCAACAAATCGAATAAAATATCAATTCACATTCGTTAACGATTTGTTTTATAGTAGCAAACCTAAGGACATTCATTATTTGTGACTATACATTGTATTGAATTACAATCCCCTAATAATAATGAATAATAATATTAGAGAAAATATTCTTTAACTATCAACAATAAGATCAAAAGTATCGAACCTCTGTTTCATTTGCATGATCAATGTCACTTTTTTGGCAACTGCTTCTTTGAATAATTTACGATGCCTTTCTCTCGCTAATCTTTTTCTCTTAACAGTCGGCTTTTCATAGTACCGATTTTCTCGAACTTCTCGACGTATTTGATTCGCAGTTAACACTCCCCATAATCTTCTATAAACTATACCGGCATTTCCCTTAACTTGAAAGGTCCTTCCGGCTGTTGGGTCTTTTCTATCTTGTCCTGAAATATTACTTGGTTGTGGAAAGAACATGGTGTTACTTTGTTGCTCAAGGGGAAATGATATCGAAGGCTTTAATTTACTATCTGTATGCTTAGCTCGATTAAAGAATAGATTGATAGAAAGGGGGATTTTGCCATCGCTAAGTGTGCTTTTAATTTGATATAATAAAAGATGTGAAGTATTCATTCCACGTTTTCTGAAGTTTGAAAAGAATGACAATGTGAACATTACTAAGAAAGATGTGACAAGTCAAAATTTCAAAGATCACCATTATATTAATTTTGGCACGAGTTTTGACTCATGATGTTTAACAAAATGCTTTTGAACTGTGAGAACCTGTTGAAACCAATAAAGAGCTCTTTGCATACTGTGAAAGTCCCATGGCTAAAATTTCAAAAAAAGTTATACATTCATAGCCTCATACAACCAAATAAACCTGTACGGGTTCGGTTTGCTCCTAGTCCAACAGGCTCTTTACACCTTGGAGGTTTGCGTACTGCCTTATTTAACTATTTAATAGCACGTAAAACAGGTGGCTCGTTCGTGCTGAGAATAGAGGATACAGACAGGGTAATATTCTGTTTATATTATTTTCATAGCCTTTATTTTTAACCCAGCCTCATATACTTTTTTGTAATAGAAAAGGCATGTTCCGGGTGCCGTTGAAAATATATTAACCTGTTTGCAATGGGCAGGCTTAGATTTTGATGAAGGTTAGTACTTATAAGAGGTTAATTTTTTATTTAATCTTGATATCTATCGAGACATTGATCAATTGATTAATTAGGTCCAGGAAAAGATTCGCCATATGGTCCTTTTTATCAGGTTTTTGTTTTGGAAATTAAACTATTATCAAATTTTATTACCTCTAATTATTAACTCATTCCTTTTTTTGCATTAAAAATATAAGTCTGAAAGAACAGAATTGTATAGAAATTATGCATTGAAATTGATCAAAGTACTTTTGAGAATACAATGAAAATAAATTGATTAATTGTAAAAGAGAAGTTATTTAAAAATAAAAGCCAGATATTTCAATATTACAGGAGAGACTTGCTTACAGATGTTTTTGCACGCCTGAACGGCTGAACAGAGTTCGGGAAATCGCACAAAAATCCGGAACAACCGTTTTGTATGATCGTCATTGCTTATCTATCGATTCGGCAGCAATTGAAGAGAATTTGGCCATTGGAATGCCTCATACAATTCGACTTAAGGTAATATTTATTAAAGGTTTTTTAAAATTCAGATTTTATTAATTTGATTATTATATAAATAGACCCCTGAGGGAGCAATCAAATTTAATGATCTCATATATGGCTTAATTGAAGTCAGTGACAAAAATATTGACGATGCTATTTTATTAAAAAGTGATGGATATCCGACATATCATTTAGCTAATGTAGTGGATGATCATTTAATGAAAATCACTCATGTTCTGCGAGGAGAGGTTTGTATTCGTTACTTTTATATTTATCAATGTTTATCAAATATTTATTATTTTTCCTATACTTAAGGAATGGCTTCCCTCAACACCTAAACATATTATTTTATATAAATCACTTGGCTGGGAGCCACCTCAATTCGTACATTTGCCTCTTTTATTGAATTCTGATAAAACAAAATTATCAAAACGTTCTGGGAATGTTAGGGTTGAAGATTTCGTGGTAACCTTCATTAAGATAAATTATTTTATTAGTACACATAATCAATTATTAAAATTTTATCTTTTTAGAGAAACGGATATTTACCTGAAGCTGTGCTCAATTTCGTGGCTTTTTTAGGATGGTGCCCTCCTGATAATGATAAAGAAATATTTACCTTAGGAGAATTGATTTTAGAGGTTGATTGATCAGGAGATCGTGATGTAAAAAATATTTCTTAATTTTATTAATTTTACAGTGAGAAATTTAATAGTTTTCACCAGATCAAATTGGACACTCTGGCGCTACTCTATTGATTTCGAAACTCGATTGGATGAATAAGGCACATCTTAAACGTAAAATGGGATCCACGGAGGGGTTGAAAGAACTTGTCAAAAGCTTAAAACCTTTAATTCAAGAAAAATTCTCAGACGAGTGAGCTTGATCTTATAGTCATCAATTCATTTAATATAATAAATCAATCTTAACATTTCATTAGATTGACTACTCGAGGGGAAAGTTGGAAACTAGATAACGAATATCTTTCGAAAGTAATCCTAACAATAGGTGTAAGTATATATACTGCATGATTTATCAGGTGACTTTTATTACCAAAACTAAAGGAAATATCAATCGTATTTCAGGATCGGACAAGGAAAATCAGCGATATTCCAGAGTTATGTGGATATTTTTTTATCAGTCCAGATTATGATTCCTCGGATTCTCTTGCTTTACGCGCAAAAATTGGGGAGAATAATTTAAGTAAGGCAAAAGAATTTTTAACACTAAAAATAGGCTCTTTAATAACTAAATTTTTTCACATCAAGGAATCGTCACGAAAGCAGTTGCATATTGTTTGAAAGACCTTAATACGGATGAACGTAATAATCTCGATTCGCTGAAATTATGTATTGATAATGTTGTCAGAGAAACAGGCAAGAAACGTGATGAGGTCTTGATGGCCTTACGTTATATACTTACTGGTATCAAGGTAAGATATTTTTGCTATATAGTACTGATCTCAGCTTTTTATGTTACTTTACTTGTTTGTGTTTAGCAATTTTTTTGCACAGATTGGAGCAGGGGTTGCTGAAACGATGTGTACACTTGGAAATAAGACATATATGGAACGCATTAATTTCTTTGTGAACAAGTTCTCAGAATAGTCCTTTGATACCTTTTCTATATATAACTCAGTTACACACAACTACCATATTCACCACCCCTGAAAACAATTGAAATGATGTAATCGACGATTTAATCTCCCTTTAATTCAGGGGTGCTACACAATTGTAACTTTGAAAGAGAACTTGTATAAAAACATGGACACCATTCAAATCCCGCCATAATTACACTTCTCACTCGTCGCTCGTTTTCTTAATAAATATTAAACAATGACAAACCAACAACCTGATTTTTTTATTCCCTCACCAAGAGGAGAAATTTTACGACGCCCTTTCAATAGAGCGCGTGGTGACGCTGGAATTGTGGACGCGGTTGCTCACGCGGCATATAATGAGAAGAAATGGGTTTGGGTAAAGGACAAAACTGAAGGATATATCTCCGGATACATCACAAATGACTTGAACGATTCACAAATTGAAGTTCAGTTAAATGACGATACGGTATTAAAATTATGTAGCTGTTATTCACTTGTTAAAAAGTTAAATTTTTTTAATATTAATTTATAACGATGTAATTAATAAAGACTCGAATTGTTGATGTTAATGAGACGGAAAAAATGAATCCACCAAAATTTGATAAAGTAGAAGATATGGCTGATCTGACACACTTAAATGAGGCTTCGGTTATCCATAATTTAAGACAACGTTATTATTCAAATCTAATATATGTAAGTAAATAACAAAATTTTTTGTACATAATACGTGCACTTAATGTTTAATTCGTCAAATTGCCTGTAGACATATTCTGGACTTTTCCTTGTGGCAATCAATCCGTATCATAAATTACCCATTTACTCTGAACAAGTTATAAATTCATATAAACATAAAAGGCGATCAGAGATGTCTCCTCATATTTATGCTATATCAGATGCTGCATATAATGATATGTTGCGTCATCGAGAGAACCAGTCATTATTAATAACGTAAGTGATTGTTCATATGATTATTTTCAATCAATTGAATCAGCTAATCATTAATTAAGACACTAATAATTGTATTAGAGGTGAATCAGGAGCTGGTAAAACTGAAAACACCAAAAAAGTGATACAGTATATAACATCAATAGCCAGTGATGTCTCAAATAAAGAACAATTTGGACGACTTGAACAACAAATTCTTCAAGCTAATCCAATATTGGAAGCATTCGGAAATGCGCAAACTATACGAAATAATAATTCATCTCGTTTCGGCAAATTTATTAGAATTGAATTTAATTCAGCTGGTTATATCGCTGGCGCAAATATCGAGAGATATTTATTGGAAAAATCTCGTATTACTCATCAAACTGAAAATGAACGAAATTATCATATATTTTATCAATTAATGAAAGGTGCTCCTAATGAAATTAAAGGTATTTTTTCTTAATATTTTAAATGTTTTTTTACTTGAGAAAAAATATTAAAACTTAATTAATTTTATATTAGAGAAATTTTATTTGGATGGTACTTTAAATGATTATAATTACACAAGAAGTTCAAAAAAAGATATCGATGGAGTTGATGATGTGCAAGAATTCAATGAACTCGTTAAAGCGATGAATATAGTTGGGCTAGAAAAAGAAGAACAAGATGATCTATTTCGGATTGTAGCTGCAGTTATGCATCTTGGCAATATTGTGGTAACGTCAGATCGTGATGAACAAGCACAAATTCAATCAACTCCTTTGGTGGGAAAAGTTTGTGGTATTCTTGGAATTAAAGTCACGGATTTCCTTAAAGGGTTGTTAACACCAAAAGTCAAGGCAGGTAGAGAATGGGTTCTACAAGCAAGAAATAAGCAGCAAGTGCTATATTCAATTGATGCGTTAGCAAAAGCATTATATGAAAGGAGTTTTCGTGCACTGGTTGATCGAATTAATAGTGCTATTGATCATCCATCTAATAAGTCGACTTTTATTGGTGTATTGGACATAGCCGGATTCGAGATTTTTAAGGTAAGAATTCTCTATTTAGTTAATTATCTTCTATCTGTATCTACTCGCTCAATAATTAAATTCTCGATATAGACCAATAGCTTTGAACAGTTATTAATCAATTATACGAACGAGAAGCTACAACAGTTTTTCAATCATCACATGTTTATTCTTGAACAAGAAGAATATAAAATGGAAAATATTGATTGGAAATTTATTGATTTTGGTCTTGATTTACAATTAACCATTGATTTAATTGAGAAATCAAATGTAAGTTTTATTTTTTATCTTGCTTTCCTTTATTTATATTCATTTTACACACACCCTCACTCACTCACTCACTCACACTCACTCACTCACTCACACTCACTCACTCACTCACACTCACTCACTCACACTCACTCACTCACTCACACTCACTCACTCACTCACACTCACTCACTCTCTCTCTATTATCATATATAGCCCGTTGGTATTCTATCTTGCATCGATGAAGAATGTGTCATGCCAAAAGCCTCCGATAAAACATTCATTCAGAAACTTGATCAAATTTGGCGAGACAAATCACCCAAATATGAAACAAGTCGATTCCAGCAAGGATTTATTCTTCATCATTACGCGGGAAAAGTAGAATATCGAACTTTGGGATGGTTGGATAAAAATAAAGATCCTATTAACGAGAATGTCGTGAGTTTACTTGCTCACTCCTCGGAGCCTTATGTATCTTCACTATTCACTGATTATTTCGTTGCTGGAAATCATAATATTTTACAGTCGCCAGAAAATCATAAACATTATAATGCTAATATTAACAATAATGGGAATATTAATAATAGCAATGGTTATAATAATTATGACAATAATAATTATATAAATAACAGCAACAATTATCATACTCCAATTAAACGACGAAACACAAAAAGCGGAATCTTCAGAACAGTATCACAACGACACAAAGAGCAATTGCATTATCTCATGCAACAATTGCACGCTACTCAACCACATTTTGTTCGTTGTATTCTGCCAAACGAAGAGAAAAAAGCTTTTAAAATTAATGTACCACTTGTTCTTGCACAGCTGCGTTGTAACGGTGTGTTAGAGGGGATACGAATTTGTCGTGCTGGATTCCCTAATCGATTACAATTCAAAGAATTTCGTCAACGTTACGAAATCTTATTGTCGCGTTTAATTGAAGATAATAATAATAATGTGCCGATGGATGATCATGAATTAACAAAGAAAATGTTAAGTGAATATAATTTTGATGAAACACAATTTCGAATTGGGAATAGTAAAGTTTTCTTTCGTGCTGGCGTAGTAAGTTTATTTACTAAAAATTAATTTAATAGGTTATTTGTTCTCTGCTAATTAATCGTTTATTCATTCAATCGATTTATAGTTGGCAGAACTTGAAGAAATAAGAGATGCAAAGTTATCTCAGATATTTACAGGACTACAAGCGCATTGTCGTGGATTATTAGCGCGTCGTAAACATAAACAACTGGTCAACCAACTTAACTCGATAATTCTAATTCAAAAGAATATAAGAGTTTGGCTTGAGATAAGAAAATGGTCTTGGTGGAAACTATATTCAAAGACTAAACCACTATTAAATGTCACGCGAATGGATAAAGAACTAAAGAAAAAAGATGATTATATTCGAGAATTGGAACAAAAATTAATTTCTCATTCTGATAAACTTGAATCACTAATAAAACAACAAAATCAACAATCACAATTCACTGATGCAGCAATCATAAAAGCAGCTAAAGAAAAAGAACATTATGATGAAATTGAGCTCGTTAATGAAAATTTAAGAAAAGAAGTCGAAGAGTTAAAGGCGAAATTAGAATCAGAAGTTAACGCTAAACATGAAGAAATGGCAAATCGCAATAGAATAGAATCTGAATTTGAAGAATTACAAATTAAATATGAAACCGAGATTATTAAATCATCTAAATATGCTCAATCATTGAACTCGTATAAGTCGAAAACTGATGGAACGATTGCGAAACTTGAAAATTTTGAACTCGAGCGATTAAAAGCAGAAAAAAATGAAGAATATCTAAAAGTTCATATCAAAGAACTCGAAGCAGCATTATCAGATGCAATTAATGATCGTAAAAGTGCCGAGGAAAAAATCAAAACTTTGGAGGAGGAAATAGTTGAAATGGAGTCTAAAATGGATGATGAAGCGATGGAAATGGCTGATTTATCACTGATTAAACGACGCTTACAAGAAGATATTGATGAAGAACGTGATCGATACAAAAAAGATTTAGAGGAACGTGAATTTGCATTGGAACAAACCAGAAAGAAATATCACAAAGAATTAACAAGATTAACTAATGAAATTGAATTGGAAAGAGCGAACTCGATAAGATTACATAAAGAAAATAAGGACCTATTATCGGAAAATGAAGAAATTCGAATTCAAATCGAAGACATTTCTTCGTCAAGTTTAGTAAATTGGAAACGTGAACGAGAAAAATACGAAGCAAAAATTACTGAACTCTCACAGCTCTATAATGAAACGAAAATTGGACAGGACGAATTGCAAATGCAACTCGATAACTTAAGAGTAGCACTCGATGACTCTGAATCCCAGAAATTTCTGTTAGAGAAACAGAAAAGAAATCTAGAGGAACGACTTGAAGATATTGACGAACAATATCACAGTGAAAATCAAAATAAACAAGCAGCTGAGAACAGCATAAATGTATTAGACACAGAATTAAATGAATTACGTCAGCTATTGGAAGAATATCAAGACAAAGAGATTATCTTGAATGAAAAATTACGAAAATCAGAATTAAATGCTACTGAAGCTCAAACGGAACTGGCCAAAGAAAGAGAAGATAATCAAGATTTAATAAAATCAAAGGTGGTTATAAGTTTTATATTATTTATTGGTTCACTTTATTTATTTTATTTTATTTTATTTTATTTTATTTTATTTTATTTTATTTTATTTTATTTTATTTTATTTTATTTTATTTTATTATAATTATCTTACCTTATAAAATAGATTGCGTTAGAAAAACAAATAAAAGAATTAAATATTAAAAGTTTGGAATTGGAAACTAAATCAATAACTTCTCCCCGCGGAATAAAACGATTGGAACAACGTCTCGAGGAAATAAATACACAACTGGAGACTGAAACACGAGAAAAGAATGAAGCTCATCGTCAACTACGTAAAAATGATCGTACTATTCGAGAACTTCAATATCAATTATCAGAACGTGATAAATCGAAGACTCGATTAGAAGAGGAAATTTGTAAATATGAGCAAAAAGTCTCGAGAATGCGACAAGCCATTGAAGAACTTGTAAGTCTTGGGAAAGGGAAAGCAAAGCATATGCGAATTTATTTTAAATGCATTTCATTTATTTAGCAAAATTCCGAGAGTTCATTACAATTGAGTAAACGACGAATTGAACGAGAAGCAAATGAAGCTCGAGAAAGATCGTTAAGGTATGTATTTGTTAATCTGTTAAAGAATTATATTGTAATAATAATAATAATAATAATAATAATAACTATAAGACTAATAATAACTATTATTACTTTTAGATTGGAACGCGAAATGGAGAAAATGAAGTCACGTTTAGATCGAACTACTTTATATATAGATTAATTAATTATAATTACTTGTATATTATTTCTTTGTGTATATTATTCTATTCTATCTTAATATTTTATTATTGTGTTATGTATAATATCTTTGCCTCTAATTTGGGCATTTGTGATACCATAATTTCTGCTTTATGTAAATCTTCGACCAATTAAATTAACACAACAAAGCTATCCTTTTTTATTGGCACTTAAACTTTTTGAACTAATACGCGACGAATTTAGATAGCGAAAGTATTCTTCCATTCCTTATAACAATCCACCCAACATTTCCTCTCAACACTGCTCAGATAATGAAGTCGACAAATACAATTACAAATGATTCTGATATTACTAAGAGGACTAGTAACAATTCTTTACCAAATAATGTCCCGAATACAAGATCAACATCCTCCTTTTCAGAAAATACAAACAAGCTTGCTGCATCTCTAATCTCACCAAAACGAGCCAAACTTCCACCTGTTGAGGTGTTTCGTCGTTTAGTGGCGCTTTCTGATGGACGAGACAAAACCTTGAAAATAATTCAATATAGTGCAAAACTTTATCTTTGGGCCTTTCTTTCCCCATCTTCTGTGTTACTCAAATATCGGATATCTACTTCCACCTTCCTAAAACCTCGTCTTTCTGCCTTAACTTCCAATTTTTCTACCACTCGAAAAATTCTACGTCTTGCCCATTTCATCGAACCGTATAACGAACTTCGAGATTATATAACTGGCGACTATAAATATCCCGTAGATAAAATTGAAATATTAATATACTATATAGGCTTTTTAAATTCGATAGTTGGATTATTGAATGATTTTTTTGACGATCTTTATTGTTTAGGTAAAATTGGGGTATTAAGTAAAACAATTGAGAAACGTGCTGAACCAATTGCTATTAGATTTTGGTTTTTCACGATTTTGCTTGATGTGAATGATTGTTTGTTGAAGGTTTGGTTGCTGAATGCAAAGATGAGGAAAGTTAAAGACAGATGTAATGAGGAAGAATGGAAAAAGTTGGAGGAAAAAAAGTATTGGCTAAAATATAATCTGGTGAAATTTCTTATGGATCTTGGATTTTGTGGTACGTATTTCCACTAATCGCGTGATATTCTCGGCAATAAGCGATTTTTTTTACCGATTTATGCTTGTTAAAATTAGGATATGACTTCTTTGGACTTGCATTTTCAGATGGCTGGCAAGCAATCACTGGTTTGATTGCTGGCATTTTAAGTAAGTTTTCAAAATATTTTAATTTTAATATAAAAAAAAATAACTGATTGTTTTGACTATTTTCTATCAATAAAAGGTTTTCACAAACTTTGGATTCGACTTGAGAGCAGAAATTCCGCTTAATCATATTTGTGTATTGGATATTAAGGCGTATAATTTATTGTACTTTGCATCATATAATAGATCTGACTTTTTGCATAGAGAATTGTTAATTTTTTATTAACAAGAGTAAATAAACAATTAGTTAAATGATGCCATTCAAACTGCACAACTCTATAATTCCAGTTATAGACAAGTCAATCAGTTCAATAATCAAACAATTACACCAAATTTATTCAACATATCAATTATACCAAATCAAATAGTACAAAATCCATTAGCAAAACAAATAGATTAATTACAAAACTTAATTAATTAACAATGAAGAATAACAATAACTAAAATAATCAATAAAATAATAATCAAAACTTATTTAATAATTGATTAGTCTTGTTACAAATGTGAAAAAATGAAACATACTGCAAATAAATATCTTAGCAAAAATAATAATTAGTATAATAATAGCAATAACAACAACATTAATAACAACAATCATAATAACAACAATAATTATCATAATAATAATTACTGACCTAACAACCAAAGACAAAATAATTTCTTAAATATTGAAAAGCATTTAAATAATTAAGTGCACTTCTAGAAGATAAAGCTGTATCAACAAATAAAAAGTCTTCAATCAACAAAAAGAAATTAGAACAAATAATACTCAACAATGAAGAAAAAAATAAAATATCAGTAAATACTATGCATTATCTTGAAAAAGTTAAAAATCAAAAAGTTATAATTATTATTGACAGTGAAGCAGTGAGCAATATTATCAATAACTCATTATTAAAAAAGATCAATTGAAAAATACAAAGATCTAGTAATATTAATTTAGTTGATATTACTAGAATAAAAGAAAGCTTACTTGAAGAAGTTCTAAACTTATCAGTTACACTTGGTAAAAAGAACTTAAAAATCAATATTTTAGTTACTAAAAAGGTGACTATAATTTGTTACTTGAAAATGATTGGGCATATAAAAATCAAACAGTAGTAAATTGAAAAACAAAAACTTTAATATTTAAGTTCAATAATAAAAAAATCCAAGTTCTAGTATTTTGTTTAAATAAAAGAAAACAATCAATTGGAAATAATAGTTTTATTATAACAAAAAATAAGATTCAAATTAAAGTATTCATCAATAATGGAAAATAAAAAATATTTGTAAGAGCACATAAAACTGATACTGAATTTGATATGAGATATCCAGACAAAGAAATACTAAATATATCACCAAATAATATTATATTTATTAATACTTATATTGCAATGAAAATACTAGTTGAAAATTATTGTCAATTAAAATTCAAATTATTTTTGACAAAAGAAAGAAATTGAAGTCAAAGCTGATACAATTGATGTTGAATATACTAAAGATATTAAAATTCTATTATATAATAATTTCAAAATAACACAACAAATTCAATCAAATGAAAAAATAGCTCAAGCAATATTCTTATCTTTAATTAATATTTTTAACTTGAAAGAAGTATATATATGAGAAGAACTTGATTAAATACTAAGAAATCAAAATGAATTTGGATTCACTGGTACTAATATAATATTGAAAGAATATAAAGAAGAATATAAAGAAGAAAATCTAGAAAATCAACTATTACTAAAAATTCTAGAAGAATGAAACAACAAGTAATCTTAAATATTAAAGTAAATAAACATTATACTCAAATAAAAAATTAACAAATATATTATATTACTATAAAAGAAATAAGAAAGAATATTCTAAGTAGAAATAACAAATATTTACATGCAAATAATAAAGAAAATAAAAACTATCTAAATTATGTTGAAGATAAAGAACTATATCCTATGAGTTGTATGTTGTTTTATATTGTATAACAAAACTTTATTACCAATTTGAAATTCTTTTATGTATTGAATTTTTAAATCATGTTTTTCTTTGATTTTTTGTTGTTTTTCAAATATATTGTTCATGACATCAGAAAATTTCTATACCCGTTGGCAATCAATTTATAATTATGTCCATTGGCAATCAATTATCAACATCTCCATCATTCATCATCGATAGGAATTACAATCGATTGTCAGTGATTAAAATTGATTATAATTGCTGACAATTGATTGCGTTCAAAAATCATCGTTAGCAATCGATTGCAACCACTAGCGATAGAAAACGATGATGTGTTAATGATCAATTAACAATGAAAATTGTCAGCAATTGATTGTTAACGAGTTCTGTTCACAATCGATTGCAATCACAATCGATGCCAATCAGTGGGAGTGTTGATAATTAATTGCCAATGTATAAGATAGCTAATCGATTACTAGCGAGAATTGATTGCAATTGATTGCAATCATGATCGTTGCTAATTAGTGAGTTGTTAATGCTCAATTGTCAATGTACATGATTGGCAATCAATTTCTAACGAGAATAGTTTGTAATCATTTGTAATTATAATCAATGTTAATCAGTTGGGGTGTTGATAATTGATTGCCAATTGAAGTAATTTGCAATCAATTACCAATGCATATAGTTAGTATTCGAATGTAATCATGCTAAAAAATGATTGATTAGGATGTTGATGATTGATTGCCAATGGGTATTGTTAGAAAGCAATTTTATTTTGGATAATATAATCATAATCGATGTTAATCATTGATTTGTTGATATATATTATATTTATTTGATTGATACATTATGCATTTACATAA